GGACGGCGCGGATTAGCACTCGCGCTTATGTCTCCGCGGATAAGGGCTTTGCGGTATTGTGGTGGAACCCTGTGGAATAGCTTGCCATCAGAAGTTGTAGGTATTTCATCACTGGAGGTTTTTAAGAAGAGACTAACCATTGTCTTACCTGAAGGGTCGTTTTCAAGGTGATGCAAAGGAGAGTCCAAGCAAGGGTTAAATACAGCCAATCTGCCCAGAACTGAATTGAAACTTTAAGCCACGCCTCTGGTGCTGACTATCTTCAGATTTTTTCAATGAAGGCGTGGAATTGTTGCGCACCGAGAAGTTCCACAATAAGTCCAAAAACCATATCCAAAATAAGCACAAATCCAACTGGAACTGCAGAAGTCTGCACTGAAAACAGCGGAACCAGACCCCAGGGTGGGGTTGGACTATCCTTTGTAGTGCCCTGAAAACGCCCCTTCAGGTAAGACAATGGTCATTTTCCAGGGCGCTGCTCTGGAGAGTCCAAGCAAGGGACATACCCAAGCTAAATGCCACTAGGGCGGGAAGCAGTCGCATTTAGGGTCTCTCTGCTGGTATGAATGCCCTGAAGAACTTGTCTCCCAAAAGTTCCTTCCACCGAGGCAAACTTGTCCAACTTGTAATTCTGAACAAACAGAGATAATGAAGTCTAAGTGGCCGCCCTGCAACTCTCCTCGATTGGCACCCAGGCTGCTGTGGTGGCGGCACTCCTAGTAGAATGTGCCGTGATGTGGCTAGGCACAGGTTTGAACTGCAGAACATGAGTGAGGGTAATGCAGGCCCTCAACCACCATCCGATAGTTGAGGAGGAAATCTTCCGGCCTAGGAGGCCGGTTGGAAAAAAACAAAGAGCGATTCAGAATGACAAAACACATCCGTGCGCTTGACATATCTGCGGAGCGTCCTGCGGACATCAAGCATGTGCCAACGCTTCTCCCTCGGGTGCCTGGGATACGGGCAAAAATCAGGAGAATGACCTCCTGGGCCCAGTGAAACCAGGAGTTGATCTTGGGGATGAACGTTGGGTCATAGCCGAAGCTATGGATAATAGAATGATGCACAAGAGAAGAGTGTTCGTCAGGCACAAGTATTGTGGAAATTGCGGCCACCTGACGTCGTAGAGTGTTGGGCGCTAGTCCCTTGTCCATCTTGCAAGAAGTCCAGGATGACGGGAATCATGGCCGAAGTCGCAGATACCTCATGAGAGGTGCATCAGGTGGCGAATGACCTCCAGGTGGCGTTGTAGATCTGGGTCGTGGAGGGACACCTGGATGGTGTAGATGACCTTGGTCGAGAGGCTACCCCTGCTCAGGAGATCCCTCTCAAGTGCCAGACGGCCAGAAAAGGGTGGCCCTTGAAAGGAAGGATGCAGAGGTGGACATTTTAATCGCCCAAGCCGCTGCCTGGTGCGTTTTATGGCAGGCGTCCTCTGTTTTCTTGTCCTCTGCCTTGAGTCCCTCCAGTAAATCGGTGGGGGAGTACAGAGGATGAGGTAAGGGCTACCACAGGAGGATCAATGGGAGGTAATTTAAGCAAGTCCTCCAGACTGGCATCTAC